TAGAGGGAACACTGCCCGCTGGTGAACCACAAAAATATTTGTGGTGGGCCACAGACCAATTTTGAATTTCTAGAGTTATTGGCAATATCCATTAGCAAAACATCCCTCGCTGTTAAAATGCATTGTGACGCAACAAGTGTCATTCTATGGTCGGATGGCACTGAACGGGGGATAGAAATAGTAATCGTATCGTCATTTAAAACTTGAAAATCAGTTTAAATGGCAGAACGAAAGTTCATCTGCTGCTATTTGTTTTAAAATTATCTTATAGATTTTACCATGAAAAATCTATTGGGCCACATATCATCTGTGCAACAAGAAATGGGCCATGAATGACAGTACGGCACACTATATAAATCGGGTGACATTGTCCCATTTCAGAGAAACCCATTTTATAGATGATCAGACAACCCTCCTTTGGGAGACGTCTGGACATTGTTGTCCCTCAATATCGGTAATAATACAGTATAATGAAGTTGCGCAAAATACTACAAAAAAGCGCAATCTAGTAACGTCATCAAATTCCTAATTTTGATTATTATTGAGATAAGCATGGAGCGATATGAAGCATCTGACGTGGTCCCAGTTGCCCCTCGTTTGTGAGACACATAGAGTGTTTGGTTTATTGAGCCAATTGGAGGGAAATTCTTAGAACTTGGATAGTGTGCCGTACTGAATGAAAAAAGGTTGAGAACCATTGGGCTAGCTTGTACTCTAACTTGACAATAAAAAATTTCTTAACCCCTTTGAAAATTCCTGGCTACTCCCCTGTGAACATACAAATGATAGTTCGTAGTTTGCTTGGAACATATACAAAAATCTTATTTTAGTAGCTCATAGAGTTTAGCATTTAGAAACGTACTAATATGCTAATTTTGGATAATTACTTTTCAAGTAATAAAATGCTCGCAAAAAACATGAAAAACAACAAATAACGACACAATACAATGAAATTGGCAATCTATTTCTTCAATTATTGTGCAGTGTTATATTTTGAGACAGACACACAAATATAGAATATAAATAAGTGCGCTGGCAAAATCCAAACCCAATGTTAGAGTTAGGATATAACTCAGTGACTGTGCTTTACATTCTCAAAAAAGTGAAAATATTGCAAACAAAATATTGCTTTCATGTTAGAAAGATAAGATTAGATAAGAATTCTATGCTTTAAAAAAGACCGAATATACAGATACCATAAGTTATAATATCGATACAACTAATACAGTGGTGAGTTTACGGGTATTTCAGTATTCATTTTTTTCAGTATTTATTACAGCGAGCTATTTACCGTACATTTCTGCCTTTATGCACCTGTATATCACTGTATCAGGGGCCCACAAATAGCCATCGCCGTATTTCACACTTAACAATGAAAAGCAATAACTTACCATTTTCAATCTGGAATGTTACACAAATAGGATACAAGCAACAAGAAATCTCTCCGACGCGTCTTCAGAAAACTATGAAATGACGACTGAAATCTCGAACCAACCGGCGATGCAGCGTCGTAATCCAGTGATGTGGAACTTTTCTTTGCCACATTTTGCGGGTGACGTCATTTAACTTCCCGGTTCACGCCCTCGTGTTAAAAAAATAAGCAAGCGACCTTCTAAAACACGACGATCGTTTTCGCGAATAAGTGTTTTGCTTTTCATGATGCGTAAGGTGATCATTAAAATTATTATCAGCGACATCAAGAAAATTTGATGAAGTACTTTCGTGTCGCATTTCAAATCTCACTTTCCCGAATATCATTGTGTTGCAGGTCGTCATTTTTTGTATCACGGTACAGTTCTAAAGATATTTATATTTATTTAATTGATTTCCCTTACTTGCAGGTTAAATATAAATAATCCGATTTAAATATACAATAAAAGTTGTGGAGTGTAAACATGATTATGACTTGACTTGAACAATGAAAGTTCAAATGAGGTTTTAAACACGTAGAATATCGTGGGCCAGCACACAACATAATTAAGGAACCTGAATATTCAACCTATATAGAAAAGAGTCGTACGTCGGCTTGAAATTATGACAACTACACACGAATGCATCATATCACCCCGCGACTGGCGCACCGTATTTGATGTCAAGATTATGCTTGGCATCGCATAGATAGGTAACAATGTCGCATCTGCAGGTTCCAATAACTCGCGGTAAAAATATTTGCGAAAGGGCACCGTCGTAGAAAATACTATAGTGAAAGACACCCAACTATAGAATCAGCCGGTTCAGATAAAAAAATTTAAATGAATGTTTGCATCCATGATGTGTGTGCATACTAATCTTTCACTTTGACAAGCATATTCAAAAATTATTAGGAAGAATTGTAACTAGAATTTTTTTTATTTCAACCTATACGAGAAACACTTTTTTTTGCACAAAAAAATCAGAGATAATTCAGAAGCCATATATCTAAGAAAAAGTAAATATTGAGCAAATTTCTTGTTCAATTCGTCAGTTTAATCTGAATTGAATGAAACATTAGGGAATAACTACTGATGATCTGCTATTTCACATTTCTCTGACATCTGCACGTCCTTTTCATTGTTAGGGCATGATTTTCAGAGTTATCAGGGCGATAAGGCGGCTTTTTCGAACGACGAATTTTGGCCTCTTGTTTCGTTACTAGTATATGTAAATAGTTAAAAAGTTCCAGAAGCGTGAAATTTTGCAGTGATGAGGAAGCCACAACTATTGAACCATACTAGTAGGAAAGGCTTACCCACGCCTGGGTAATTAGAGATGCTATGAAAAAAATGCATTATTCTTAATCTAAGCACTGCGTGCCCACAGCACAGCCACTACAACATCTGATACCTTTGTCAATAACCAATTTCGCACTATTAAAAAGTTCGCTATTTTTTATTAATCAATCAATCATTTATTTCGGTACTCTGACATAAAAACAAAACAGCACAAAAAGTATACGAACAAACAAAATGCAGAGATACCTGGAATCCCATATTAAAACAAATAATCGATTTACTTTTCTCGTTGATTTATTTTGATAGGTACTTAAAATTGTATGTGAAAAAATCGTGGGAAAAAAACATTGCCCGAGATGCCAATAGAAATCGTAAAATAGTGCGCTCCGGATGTATTCGTACCAAGATGACGCACATCCTGAATACTCATAACCCGGTACACATATTAAGTTCAGGTTGTGCGTCATCTAGGTACGAATACTTCGGTAGCACCGTAAAACAGTATAAAAATAAAAGCTTCATATGAAACGCGGCCATATTCGTCTGTTAACAAATTAAACTATTCAGAATTTTCATCGTGTAAGAAGTAAGAAAAAATTTCTTTGATTCTATTTATCCTAAAAAGGATTCTTGCATACGAGAAAGTTTTTGTTATCAAAATCTGGTTCTTAAATGGAGAGAAGTCAAATTCTTTTATAAATGAAGTTCATTGATTTCCCCGACCCCACACAGCCCTGATAGTAATTCCAATGTGTCGGACAATATTATCTAATTATCAGTATCCCATGGTGATAAAACTATCATGAACACAGACATTGATACACGAGTATTCACGTCTTCATTGCATCCTTCTTCAGCGTATGCCCCACGCTTCATTTTGTTTACCCTAATATCAAACGATGAGGCTCCCTTTGGGGAAGAAGAATGATTAAATTCCCTGAAAGCAGGAATCGACATACAGAAATCCCTCAAAGCCGCCAAAGTTAGAGGAACTTGGAATTCAATGTCATCAATTCGGGTTTTATTCATAACATTGATTTTATCAAAAATCCCCCAATAGCGGTCACAGTATTCTCCATATGGATTTTTCGTATCAAGTACATATTTATAAAGAGGTGAAATAAAACATTCCAAAAAGATTTCTGTCCCCGACACAGACCCTTTACCGTTACCCGTCGTTTCAAGAAGAATTTTACTAAATTCGCATCCATATATCACGACTAATCCATGAGTTTCAAAACTGTCTCACATTAAAAGAGGAACTGATTTATACCGGTACCGAGATCTTGCGGGACCGGTAAAGAAGTGCATACAATGAGATCCACGCTATTGGCATTCGTAGATTGAAGAGTTCTGCTAAATATAGTCTCATAGCAGATTTTTCGGATGTACTTTTAGAATTCGTTTCACCCGCGTCATCATTGCCGGATCCTATTTCCACAATCTTTTCGAAGTATTTTTTAAACAATGCCCGTTTTTTTAATTCCACGCCCAATAACTATCATTGTATCGAACGGTTTTCCTTCTGACATCTTAGTTATCGACTTTCCAAGTAGCTTTTTAATCAGGCATTCTGCTGCTTGTTCCGGCAAGTCTGTAATTGCTTGATAGTCGCCTTTTCCATCTATTTTTGCGTTAAAAATTTCGACGTCCATTTATCCCAAAATATACCAGTTGACAGGCAAATAGCTGCGACGTTCGAAGGCTTCTTACGAAACGCTCAAGTAGGGCGGCAAATTATTGTTGAAAGTAGTAATTATAATTCGGGTCTTGTACAGAATATCAAAGCAAACGCTACCTCCGTGTACCGTAGTCCCTTCCCTCTACACTTACTTAGTGATACACACAGAGCATTGTTGACGAAACAATCCCCCTAGGCATTTCGTCATCCGTTGGAATTTACTGACCGTGCAGTCAATTGATTGAAACAACAATGCGATGGAATGTCAGGAATTGCCCTCATTTCGTGGCAAATCCAGCAATCCCTTGAACTTGGTATGATTGAACTGAAATTATGAACCTATTGATTTTGAATAAATTATGTCGTATAATTAGTGAGTTATTAATTAATTAGTGATGGGACCCGAGTTGTCGCTATTAAGTCAAAGCGAAGGAATCGAAACCGCAGATCGATAAGTCGGCGGTCTCCAATCGCTATCTGGTTCTAAGAGTAGTCGCTCCTTATGTCAACTCGAAAGTACAATTATTCCCAGTTTGGTGAATCAACGTCTATTTATGGCAATACAGTATTCATAAACCCCCCTTCTTCTCATGAATAAAATACAGGAATACAGTGCATACAAGAGATTATTATGACATCACAAACTAACCACAATCAACAAACAATTAAGTGCAAATTAATCTAAAAATCAACATCTATGAGGCAATAATCAACAGCGGCTTGGAACAATGATAATAATTCGAAATAAGAAAACGGGTGGCAACTTAGCAAATATGTGGTTGAAGTTTGATATTAATAAAACAGGAGAGGAAATCCGATGAGAAGGCCCGGGAGAGAAAAACCCAAATATGATGACCTAATCATAGCATTGAATTTTGGGAGCTCCTGAAGTATGTGCACCAAGATGGCGCACAACCTGAACATAGTATGTGTACCAAGTTAGGGTTCAGGTTGTGCCCTATCTTGCTGCGCATACTACAAAAGCGCCGAATTTTGTATCTTGGGAAGAGGAAAGCCGATAAAACAGTTTGACCATATGGCAAACCCTGGCCTATCCTCTGGTTAACAGGTCAAGTTAGTCAAGTAATAGTCCAGGATGCTAAAAAGTGTTTGAAGTCGAAATTGTTTTTAGGACCGTAACTCGAAGTGTAGTTTGTTTGTTCCGGCCAGGTATGATTCAAAGATAAAACATGCTAGATCAAGAATGATACAATGTTATTCTCTAATTTTCCATTTTCATATAGGGGGCGGGTAGAAGGCATGATACAACACAAATTATTCAAAGGAATAATGTAAAACATGAGATATATCACAATGATAGTTTTTAAAAATTTTACTTTTTCAAAAAATATTTATATCACAAGTTTAAGTAGTACGTATGGAAATTTTAGGAAAGCCGAAAAGACGAGCAAAACATAAGATAGGATTTTAAAAATGTGGAAACAAATTGATCTTGATTTCAAAAATGTACATTTGGAAAATATCGACTTCACAAGTTTATACCCAAAATAGTACGTATGATAATTTCATGCTTATCTATGTGGTAAGAAGGCAATGTGTTTATGTACTAAAACACAGAATAGTTAATTAAAAATGCTCCATCTTATGATGAATTTGAAAAAACAAAGCTCCACGTTAATTTTGTAGGAAAGGAAAGGTGGTAAGAGCGCAATATAATCAAACCACAACTGCTCTAGGTTAGATACATGGTTAATTAGCTAGTGATATTCGGATAGGATAAGTTTTATCCCGGGGAAAGATAAGACGGCTTAATCATATGGGGAACTACGGCTTCTCGTCCGGTTACCAGTCCATGTCAGGTATGGGATTAGTTAGCCAGTTATTTGTTTTCAGAAGTAGGAGCCTGATTGTTCTTTCCCATGTAACTATTATGAAATTTCCTGATATATAAAATACATTTTCTCTACAGTGAGATGGTGTAGCAATTGCAAATGTCCGTAAATATAAGCAGCATTAGGCAGGAGATATCACAGCTGTAAATATTCATATACAATGTAAATTGATCACACTAGCAAGATTTTTTTGGGGGCAATTTAATTTGTGATGTGGCTTCCAAAATAAATTTTCACGGAAGCAGCGATGTCTAGTATTAAACGAAAACAATTAAAAATATTTACATGAGCTGGGAAAGATGATTAGACACTACGTCATGATTCTAACAATGATCAGAGAAGATTAATTTTGATTTACATCAAGCGACACGTTGTCATGGTTATCGCTATGCCGAACAAAGATTGACTGAAGTTGGAATTTAGAGCTCTATAAAACCACCTTTTCAGAATCGAAATTTTTGAATTAAAATCGGACTTGTCCATGTTAGAGCAACCGTATACGAATCATATTCAAATCAAATACCAGAAAAAGGGAGTGGGAGTAAATATGTTTCAAATAGGATTAGAAAAGGTTAAAAAGCAGGCCAGAGCCTTCAATTTCAGTATTTTTTAATGGTCTGGGTATTACTCATTATTGCGATTTTGGGGGTGGTAACCATGACAACGTGTCATGAATTTTGACAAAAAAATTAGCACAATACATAAATCATGATTAAACTAAAAACTACAGAAAATATTTAAATATTTAAAATTAGGAATTGACAGGTAAAATTTAAATTTTGTCACGATTGAATGAATTTGTAAATAGCAGAGCTTGAATAAACTCGATATATGAATAGCACAACTACAGATGAATTCACTGACTTACAATAAAATTCAAATTATATCTACTGAATTTTCACAACTGTATGTGCACTGTATCGAATATTATTATAAAATGTTTAATTCTGACCTAATTTGGGTTAAAAGGGTTGAAAACCATTCAACCGTGTAAGAAATTGCAGGGTTAAAATTAAAATAATGTTTAGTAATAATTCAAGCTTGAAATCACAGGGCTTGAATTTGAAGTTATGTTTAGTAATAATTCAAGCTTGAAAATCCCAGGGCTTGAGTTAAAATAATGTTTCTTAATATTTCATGCATGTTGAAAAATTCAGGGCTTGAATTAAAATAATTTCTTTGATTTTTTCATGTGTTCTTTCTTCCATCCTGGCATTTTCTGGAATTCAACCAATGTCATTCCAAAGATTTCCTGAAATTCTGCTTCTTCAAGATGTTCCTGGGAATGGAAGAGAAGGATTATTAGGGAGGAGAGGAAAGTTGATAAGACGGTTTTATCATAGCTGGGGGGAGCTGACTCGGATGACCGTATCACTCCTCCGAGAAATTTTGCTCGTTGTTGCAACCCTAACCTGGTACACATACTATGTTCAGGTTGCGCACATCTTGGTATGAATACTTCGGGATCACCTTATTTGATATTGTTGCTCCTTTTTTTGGTTGAAGAAAATGAATCTCTCTCTCTCTCTCATATGGCGAACCATGACCTCTCGCACAGTTACCAGTCCATCTCGGGTATTGGATTAGTTAACCAGTTATTTGTTTCAGATGCATGGACTTGATGGATACTCAGATATTTATCCCAATTCGAACCTGCGAATCCATGACCCAAATGCATTTCAGTGTGAGGGGAGACGCGATAAACTATATCAAGCAGGTCACCTATGAGGGAGTCTAACAATAAATCATACTGAGGAGGGTGATCTTGTATGACTGTATGAAACTGGAGGGTGCGCATGAAATGATATCAGGGGCGCAGAGACAGAGTTTGGCATGTTTTCACTGGAGCCGTTTTTGCAAACTCCCAGGAGTCGACATATAAATTCCCCCGACCTTCAATGGTGATAAAGGAAGTTAAATCTTCTAAAAAACTCAAAAAGCATTATTTCTACTGAACAAAGGAGCCCCGCATTGGCCAAAGTTGAAGTCGATTTTCTCTGAGTTTGAAGATGGGGTAGAAACTTTTAAAACCCAGAGTCGAAGCCCAAATTTCACGAAAACGTCATATTAAAACATCAATCGTTACAATAATATTTTACCTCTTTCCTAGCAGGGTCAACATCGGTTGACAGTTCGTCTCCTTTCTTGACCAACTCACTGTACGGGAACTTCTGCAGTGGAGCTCGGTTCTCAACGACCTTCTTTGCAACCTCTGCTTTGACAACTTCGAACCCAGCGTCACTTCCGAGCTCGGCCTTCAGTTCTTCATAGGTTTTGCCGTTCTGCAATTTCAGGATTAAATAGTGTTAGATGGGACACACCAGCTTTTCTTATCTTCTGGGAAAGTATACTTCATGTTTAGTATTGCTAATGTTTTTGGTTTATTTTTGCTTTACTGTAATATATATATTTATGCACACAATATAAACTATTCAAAATGTAAAAAAGCAAGAGTATGATTTGCGACCAACTCTTGCAGATGAAACATCTAAAATTGAACTTTAATACCACCAGTTATTTCCAAATAGTAGCTCCTTACATTTCTAGAGCTTTGGGAGGAAGGCCCCGAACCTGCGTCACAAGTCGAGTCACGGGTCTCCAAAGTCGAGTCAAACACACTGGGCTAACTCTCACTCGAGGGTTGGACCCCCACCGTTTGAAATGTGAAAAAAAGCATTTCTTGAAATAGTTTTTAGACCCTAAAGACTCTCGAAAGCCCATGTTTTCCGGCCGATTCCACTAGCTTATACCTCTAACTTCGCAATACCAAATTTCAGACACCCCCCCTCCTCCCCACTGTACCAGCAATACTTACGCTCCACATTTCAATATCCCATGCTGTGAACCATCCTGTGAACGTCGGGGGTTCGAACCCCTGTTTGATTGTGATGATCGGGGTGTCCTTGTCCCTTCCGCAGGGGTCATGGGTCAAGTATTCGATTGCAGTGGCCATTGATGACTCCTTCTCAAGCTTGTTGGCGTTCTTTCCAATCCAGAGATAAATCTGGAACACAAGAAATTTTAAATTGAGAAAGGAAAAAAATTAAACACATGCGAAGCAAAGAACCAAAGCAAAAATCATGATGAGGCACGAGTTAAGTTTTTTTCCGAACAGTAAAAAGCTCAAGCGCACACAAATTTAGAGAAAAAAGTAGGCACAGCACGTAGCCTTCCACATAGGTATAATGGTGAAGTATTGGACAATTGTTTGCTTTGATTTAAACAATGCAAAATTTTTATAATTTAAACAAAAATAATTCCTGTTTTAACAAGGGTTTGCCTAACTATTATGGTGGCTTAACTATGGTGGTAGCCTATGCAAAATGAATTGCTTAATAGAAAATGCAGTTGTCTTTAGTTTTCATTACCGGTTATCTCCAGTACAAAAGCATGATTCTCCCCTCCTACGGCACTCCAGAAGTATGTGCACCAATATGGAGGTAACTAATTTTGTTCGCCTACTTTACATCAAGTTGTTTAAAAGGACTGAACTCTATGGGCAGGGGGAACATTCACTTGGCCAACACAGATAGTCCCCGAACTTGTAATCGAACTAAAAAAATCGGAATAAAATTATGGCCTAACCCTAACCTGGTACATATACTACAGGAGAACCCCTCCCCACTCACCTCAGAAAAGGTATCGAGCAGCATGACGTCATCCTCATCCAGATCCTCCTGAGTGAAGTCGAACATCTCGGTACATTTGAACGTTCCAGTCTGGTTCGAACACTCAAACAATCTTGGGTCGTGGTCTGGATTCTCAACCTGAAATCAAATTGCTAGTTTAGCTCAGCTGTTCTTAAAATTTCTCGATCAGTGGCTCTGTTCAAAGGCTTTCAACACTTGTTCCTCGCTGGTCAACAATAGGATAGGATTTACATATTTATCCCAGGGTGAAGGAGACATGATAAGACAGCTTATCATATCTCAAAATAATATTTCTGATATATTCCAATTGGGTTAGGTTCGCATTGCACATTCAATGAGTTTGAATTTGGTAACTCACAAAAAAGTCAAACGTTTTTTCTTTAATTCTTTCGGCACTCCAGAAGTATATGTGTAGCAATTGTCGCCTGTGATTACCGATAATTTTTCATAAGGATATCTCTCATTTTTTATTGTTATTTTATTTTTTTATTCGGAAATATATAGAACATTCGTTACCTGCAGGGCTTTAACACTTGCATACTCTCCTCTGCCACCTACTGCATCCCAGAAAGTATTGTCCTCATGACCTTCTGGCACGGTTTCAAGTTCCCTGGAAACAATAATGCAGGGCTTAAATTGAGCCGTAATTTGTATTTGAATGGCTTGGTGGTTGCCATGGTAGACATGACTATGCAAAAGATTTTGGAAGCTAGCTTTGACCATAGCCTTTGTGTATACTTCATCACAAACACCAATAGGCCCATATCTAAATGGATCAGTGGTTATCAACCTGTGGTACGCGGGGGCTTTTCAAGTGGTACGCGAGAAGCTTTGAATTATTGCAACAACCGACTTCTGAGGGGGCTGAAATATGGCAGAAACGCTTTCTCTTTATCTTACATTACTGAATGTATTCGCTGAATAGTTTATTGCGTTACCAGTCCTTCTATTTATAGAGCGCTCTTGCCCGCTACTGCCCACCTAAAAAGAAATGAGACAGGCATATTTTCGCCCGTTTTATGTCCACAATGCATTTGCATTGAGATTATCAGCAACGAAGGGAGCGTTCGAACTTCGGAGGGGGTGGTCGACGCGTGTCGAGATACCCTGATATCTTAGGATGTTACCATTATTACCTGATGTATGTGTTGGTTGATCGGCATAATCTTGACTTTTGAGGTCAAATAATTTGAAGACTAGGTTAAGCAGTTCCGGATAGCGGCTAGCGCCGACGTGGCTAGCGTATTTGTCCGAGTTTTGCGATAATTCAGTGTTGGCCATGATTAGAGCCTTTCAGCTCTTACGGTAGACAACGCAAATTTTCTCGTGATTTTGCACGTTGTTACTGCATATAATTAATACGTTGAAACTTTGCACGAAACTCTTAAAAAATGGATGAAGTGCCACATAAATACTACCATACAGAGTTTCTTGTGCCATTGTTTCCCGCCACAAAAGCGGTTTTGCCGGTGGTACGCGGCCAGTAAAAGGTTGAGAATCACTGAATTAGATGAATGTACAGTCAAATCAGACTTTGGAAGTGGGTTCTTAGGCAATTATGCAGACAATGAACAATATCTCTCCAGATGTTTTTATTCAAGTTGCAATCAAGAAAAACATTCATAAAAACTGATATATAGATATAATCACTCTGCTTGAGTATGACTGAGGAAAAAACCTCCAATACCCTCACTGAGTGCAGTAGTGAGTATGTCTCTCTCACAAGTCAGTATTTGTTTGTACAGACCCTTTTTCAGGGTGAAATCGTGTGAAAAACAATCAAAACATCTGACATATACTCATATATACACCCACTCAACTTGAGTATGATTAAGAAAAAATACCCATATTACTCACCTCTTACCGAGTGCACCAGCAAGTAATCTTGCCATCTCTCTCTCATCCCCACTGGCACCTTTTCCCGACCACATGAACATGTTTTGAGGAGCCACCAACACAAAGACATCGTTGGAGTTGAGAGATCCAGCCCTGTGGAGAGAAATAATAGTTTAAGTGATTTTTCCAGAAATTGCACCCCGACTTAGAAAGTTCGGGCACTCACTCAGAAATAAAGGAGACTCATCTCTGGGCAAAGTTATGGGCACTCACTCAGAAATAAAGGAGACTCATCTCTGGGCAAATTTATGGGCACTCACTCGGAAGTAAAGGAGACTCATCTCTGAGCAAAGTTACAGGCACTCACTCAAAAGTACAGAAGACTCATCTCTGAGCAAAGTTACGGGCACTCACTCAAAAGTACAGAAGACTCATCTCTGAGCAAAGTTACAGGAATTCACTCAGAAGTAGAGGAGACTCATCTCTGAGCAAAGTTATGGGCACTCACTCAAAAGTAAAGCAGACTCATCTCTGAGCAAAGTTACGGGCACTCACTCAGAAGTAAAAGAGACTCATTTCTGTTCAAAGTTGGAAAAGTCCGAGTTTATTTGTCACTTGAGCAATCAAAAAGTCTTTACATTAAATTTTTTGAATAATATGGTAATGACAGGGGTTGTGAAGTAAACAACACAACCAAACTGAAATCGAATTTAGATGTAAAAGCTAAAAATAGCTCAAGGAATTTGTTGAGCTTGCGGTTTTAAAGTTTTGGCACGAGTCGTATTGTTTTCCACTTTTGCTTTGTAATACTGTTAATATTGTTCATAAATAGTAACTTTCTACGTCACACTTTCCTGGCCCGCCAGTCTTAAGTGGGCAAAATTTTTGGCCCCTGGTTTAAAAACCGTGCCCACCCCTGCTCTAGCTGTTACATTCAAATTTGGCAATAAAAATATTTAAACCCCCCCTTTGAAAATTCCTGGCTATGACCCTGATTTTAGGATTTTAGGAAAAACATCAGAAAGTCTAACAATATTGGAATCATAACATACTTGGCAGCGACTTCAATAGCTTTTGTGTCGAATTTTGTTTTCCCATGAACTTGGAATAGTCTGACATCTGCTGCTTTACTTTGCCCTCCTGCACGAGAAGTTCCACCCTGTGATAAAACAGTAAATAGTGAAGGAAGATTAGAATCTGCGGTCAATATGGATGATGACGAAGTGTGCTACTAACAATTTCCAAAATATTTTAAGGGAAAAAATTTTACTTTCTATTAGATCGAGGTGCGCAACATTTTTTGTCAGTGGGCCAGATAACCCACTTCGGCGCTCCAGAAGTAAGTGTACCAATATGGAGGTGACTAATTTTGTTCGCCTACTTTACATCAAGTTGTGTAAAGGAACTGAAACCTATGGGCAGAGGGGATATTCACTTGGCTAAAACAGACAGTCCCTAAACTCGTAATAGAACTAAAATAAGGAAAATCGGAATAAAATTATGGCCTAACCCTAACCTGGTACACATACTACGGGAGTACGTCAACTTCAGACATCCAGCTGGGCCACACAATAAATTAGTTTGTCCATGTGCACAACAGATAAATAATTAGCGACAACCAGAGCGTAGCGAGAAAGCCAAGAGAAGAGAATGCAGCTACCACTTAGACTTTCCGTAATGAAGGCACCAAGCATAAACGGCAAAAGATTTAACACAGCGACGAGAGCAAAAATGAATATGTACTTTTACCCACGATAGGACGACTTAATCATATGGCAAACCACGGTCTCTCTTCCGGTTACCAATCCATGTCGGGTATGGGATTATTTAGCCAGTTATTTGTTTCCGGAAGCATGAACTTAATGGTGGAGGAAGCAGTAACCGACCAGCGGTTACGTGAACCACCCTATGGCGGCTAGGAGTCCAGCAATTCCCTCGCTCATAATCATCTCCGCATGGGATTTGAACCTGGAACCCACGTAGGGTAATCAGAGATGCGGTGGTGAGCAAATTCCTAATGCTTAGCACAATGTGACACACGGCAGAGGATTAAAATGAAACCCCACCTCATATATGATAACTTTTCCTTTGAACATTGCCAAGAAATGTCTCGGTTCCTTTCCCATGGTGACTCGGACCTGTGTTGGTTCATCATCGTAGATCCTGTCCAATGCCGCTGCCTGGAAAGCACAGGCTGTGATCTCATCTTGGGTGGCATGGCGACCCTGAGAAAGATAACAACAAAGATGTTTCACTCTGGCTCTCTATTGAAATTTAAAACTGATAGAACTAGCTAACGGCAAAGTTGAGGGTATTCCCATAGTATGTGTACCAGGTTAGGGTTAGACCATAATTTTATTCCGATTTTTCTTATTTTAGTTTTTATTACGAGTTCAGGGACTGTCCTATTGAAGACATTCAAAAAAGTGGCATACAATTAAGAAAGAAGCTGTGTCGGGCCATTCACTCAGAGTGCCAGTAGGCCCAACACCTACACCCACAGTCCTGGGATAACGCTCCATTGATTCCACGCTATGTGGCGTCAAATATTGTATAATGCATGGCTAATTATAAGTGAATAAAGCGCCTGATAGAAGAATGTTTGTCATTTATCTTATAGGAAGACCATACATGGCCCTCCTTGGTCCATTACAATCTATGCGGCCACAGTGGGTCCCGTACTTCCATAGGCTAATTAATGGATTTAATCATGAATAGGCCAGCTAGTTATCGGTAAATATGAAGAATTCATGTTTATCCCAGGGGAGCGGAAAGCGAAATGGCTTAATCATATAGCAAACCCCGGCCTCTCGTCTGGCCATCAGTCCATGAAATTAGTTATCCAGGTATTTGTTTCAAATGCATGGATTTGATTTTGTTGTATTCAGTTGAAAGGTAATAAAATGTGAACCGAATTCATTTTCTATCACAAAATCTTAAATCCTATGACAGCATAATGGATCCTTACCAGCCAATAATAGATGATTCTTCTTTCTCTATTGTTATGCATGTAGGTATACAGTATGATGTAACAATCGCCACCATAGAATTGTCCGTAGGTTGATTTATCTACAGGAGCCAGTTCACTCTTCTCGATTCTCCAAACCTAGAAGATTTTAAATATATTTAAATATGTTTCAAATAAAGGGGGCTTGCATGATAGCTATACGAGGAATATGGGCCCTAGTGTGCCCCAAGTCCAACGTCATCAAGAAATTTATGGACGCTCCCGTGGTATGTGAACCAAGATGGCGGACACCGGAACGTAGTATGTGTACACGGTTAGAGTTGGGACATAATTTTATTCCAATTTTCCTTATTTTAGTTTTATTACGAGCTCAAGAACTAGCCAAGTGACTCCCGTAGTATTTGTACCTGAAATTATGGCCTAACCCTAACTATGTTCCGATGTCTGCCATCTTGGTTCACACACTACATATGTACCAATTTCTGCTCGTACGACCTCACTTGCCCCTTTAGACACATTAGGCGTATGGCCTATAATTTCACTGGGCCCATAAAGTGGACACGAAGACCCGGATGAAGCAGTGCAGGAATGCAATCTGTCACAATAAACTACCGGTACAAAAATCTTCATGACCAACAAGTAAGCAGAACCGCACCATGGTGCGCAATTTTTGATGATGTCATCGCACACAACAGAACAAATCCCGTAGACCCAAATGAAATTTTTGAAATAAATACAATCTTTCACTACTGAAAATTTCAAAGCAATTGGTTCAATAGTTAATGAGAAAAGCGATTTTTTTATGACGATAAAAAGAAAAATACCAACAAAAACAACAACAACACAATAACAATACGATCCATATGTACATTTTGTGTCCAAAAGGCTACCCCCCAAAACCTTTATCGCCCAGCTTAATTTCATCAGATCAATGCTTACCTATCTATCCTATTTAATGATCCCCGTTCACCACGAATTAAACCAGCCCATTGATGTAGGATACTAAGCCTATAGTCTTTCCACTACCTAACATTCAAAAACTATCGAAACGAACATCACCAGGTCTTTACTCATCGATAAGACTATCAGACAACCCCCCGAAACCTTTATTGCGCAACTCAATTTCATCACATCAAAGCTTGCCCATCTATCCCATTTATGAATCCCCGATCCCCACCAATGTTTCCACTACATACCATCTCAAAAATTATTCGAACGAACATCACCAGGTTCTGCTTATCTAACAGACGATAAGACAACAATAAATTTATTAATCCCACTGAATTTTATCAGTCCTCCCTGTATACAAATTCCAATCTTATTTTACCAGCCCCCTGCCGATTAGATCACAAAGTTGCCTATTTATACCAGTCTGAAAACCAGGACCAAGCACAACCCGACAGAGCACTCACACTGCAGCATCGTGACATTATATGGTTGACCATACAAACGAGTCGCAGCTCTAGTCCAAGGCTACTGAACTATTTTCACCAAAGATACAAAATTTTAAAAATTACTGTTGTCCGTTATACTCAAAGAAATATATTTTGACACCCTTGAGATTATTCGTTAATCAAGATAGGGCTATTCGCATTCTTTATTATGACGTTGCAATTTTTTTCAAATATAGTCAGATACAAATATGAGTAAATGATGAAATACCCTTTAAAACTGTAAAAGTCATTTAGTAAAAGAAAATCTTCACAGAATTAGGTGCGTCCGAACCAAACACTCACAAGGTCCGGTTTCAGACTGTCAGTTGAGTAGTCCTGCTCTAGTCCCTGCTAGTGAGATCGGTTTTAGTAAAATTCGCCGCAGGAAATATCGCCGTAGGTAAAAGTAACTTTTTTTAAAAAAGATTTGTTATTTATTAAGAGCATACCCTGACCCAAGGGTTCCCAAGCTTTTTTCAGGACAACCCCAAGGACAACTTTCAAGTGTCCAGTGCAACCCCAGGTCAATATATATATTTTTCATAAAACTTTAGAGCTTCTTTCACTAGATTTTTGAGTTTGGATACTGGTGGTATTAAGTAAAATAAGCTAAAACCAAACAGTGATGTCACAATAAGCACGTACATTTGTTATAGACTAAGCATAAAGCAATGCCTAAGGACCTGTTTTACAGTAAGCCACGCTACAAACTGCTTAATTTAACATGGTTTTTCAAATCTTAGATGTTTTGTACATCAATCCTCTACCATACCTCAGCGACCCCACTGCACTGACCCCATGACTTGTTTGCGACCCTATCTACTTATCACTCCGACCCAATTTGGGGTCACGACCCCTGGTTTTTGAACCCTTGCCCTCACCTATAAACCTACAGTAACTGTTTTTATCACAAATATTTGTTTCACAGGAAAATGCTCTCGAGGAAATTTTACCTATGCAACGAAATTTTCTGCAACAAGATTTCCTACAGCGAAATTTCCTGTGGCGAATTTTCCAGACACGGGTGAGATCACCCACATAAAACATTCAACTCACCTCAATTTCACCAGAACCATCATCAGGCATTCTCTCATTCGCAGCTACCTTAGGTTGATTGTGCATTGTGCTGGCATCAAACTTCTTGTTCTCAATGTGGGCTGGAAAAAGAAAAATTGAGTCCAAATATTTTCAGTTTACTTCGAAGACACCACGCTAACTACTTAAACAAATTAAATAAAGCTCTGTTCTTACAAGAGCAACTTATGTTGGCATTGAAGATCTCAGGCTGGAGTACTCATGCCCAACAATTCACTCAGGGTGTGATAATTGGGACAGGCAAAGCCATAAAGAAAAGGTGCCGGTGCCGATTGTTGATTTGATAAAGTAGATCTTTAAATATCAAAACCTGCTCATCTAGAGTAGCGATCAGCAATTTGCATCTCATTGTTTTTTGAGCTCTGGCTCCCGTAAATCAAAGTGGTTAAAACAGTTTTTAGACGCGGTGAGGATTCAATGAAAGGTGTGGGACAAAGTGCAAGTCGCGAGCTGTGAAAATGAGTCGCATAACAGTGATTCGAGTCTGTCAAAACTTTTTTTTTCATTTTATAAGTTGATTCCATTTAGTAATAGACTGAATTATTGAATCACTCATATTTCATATGGCTTCTTCTTAGTAAAAACTAGTAGGTTTGGAGTTGATGATCAGAATGCCAAATTTCTCTTTCAATGCTGAAAGCCGACCCGTGATCTAGAGCAAAATTTTAAAATATGCCGCACATCTCACCCAGAATGTGACAAATTGGACAAGCAATGGCGAACTAAAAAGATCAGATTCTTTCAAACTTAATAACTCAGTAGGTATCAATGGATACGTAGCAAGAGCCTTATTCAGAGGAAAGTGCAGAAAAAGCCCCCCAGCCCAAAATACTCACCGATACTCCCTCTAGTGTGCAGTTTCCCTTTCCCAATGACGTCAGTTTTATCTCTCCAATCTTTAAACAACTGTTTGAACATCGCAGATTCCGCTCCGTCGTTGACAGTTTCTATCTGAGTGCTGGCAGGGTATCCCTTTGCTTTGATGTAACCCTGGAAAAGATTGGCAGAATAAATATAACCCTAGTTAATAATAATTTATTCTGTCTAGTTATACTTCATTGATCACTTAGGGTTGAGCTTGGATATAGCCCTAGTAAATATTGGCAGAAAAATATAACCATGATTTATTCTATCGTCTATGCTGTCTAGTTACACTACACTGCTTTGTTTAATAACGGCCCCTAACATACCATAGCTCTAGTCATTGATCCTGATTTCTCCTCTTTCGTTGCTTTTTTGCCTTTCCAGACGTAAACCTTGCTCCCGCCATGGTCAAGAATATAACAGTCCTACAGAAAGAAAACTCAGTGTCAGCAAAATGATGGCTGGGTTAACTATATTTAAGATTTTTGGCAATCATAGCCAGTGGACAGAGCATTTTGACTTTAAATGCTCAGAAGTCGAAGTTTGGCAAATGGAAGTGGACACTGCTATGATGGAATGGGATTGAAGAGATTCTCTCATTTCGCTAAAAGTATTGCACGATTCTGTTGGCATTCACTTTTTTGTGTGCTTGTGTATCTGTTTTTTGGTGGGTGGATGCATACTTATACGTTTTTTAACTTTATTTTAAGTTATGCTCGCCTTCCAGATGCATTTTATTTATCTGTTTACTTTGTGTTGTTCATCTCAGAGAACCGAAATAAAATGATTGATTGATGCTTGAGTGATAGATAACCATTGATATAACTAGAGATTCTTAGCATTCAGCACAATGTATGAGTATCAATGCAAGTGTATCAACAATACGCACAGCTGAAGTGCAATTCCAGCAAAATTTAAGTTCAAGGATAGAAAAAATTTGACTGAATGTCATAAAAGGGCATGTCATAATAATCTGCCACAGTATTTGAATCTGGGAAGCCATGAAGGGTAATCAGTTGTGCATTGGCAAGGGTAATCCCAACGCTTAACACGATGCACCACACCGTCGAGTCTATTCCGATTTTTACGTTTCGACTTTATTAACAAAAACCTCACCTCATGTTGCAGTAGGGATTGGCTCAAAGGTTTGGTTGCCACTTCCTGAACCATTAGCTGGCCTGACTGATCGGATACACTGAAAAAGAAAAAAAGAAAGTAAAATAAAGTTTGATACGGCAAAATATGCATACAAAATGAATAAAGACATTCTGCCAGCTTTGCATAAAATTACTGCCTGATTAATTTCATTTAAATATATTTTATGGCATGTTTATATATTACAGAATAATTTTTTACCATTTATGCTCAAAACAATGCTTGAATACATTATTCAGAATGTGAATATGCCTGGTACAAAATATTCTGTATATTTATATTCCCATATGGACATCTAAGCCATATTTGTTTATCAAATTCTCCTAAATATATTTGTGAGAAAATAATTCGAATTTCTCTCACATTGTGGTTCTATTGTTTGTCATTATTTGTCTATCTACACCCTCCATGACATAATAATGGTGCCAATTATTCTCATTCATCTTTTCATTCATAAGTAACAATGGGCAGAATATTTTAACTCTTTGATAATAATAATTTGAAGATGAATGGCTCAGAAATATCCAAAATGAACGGCATTTTTCAGAAGAGTTTTCCCAAAGCAATGTCATGTACAGCACACTCAATCAGAAGTAAAACAGACTCTGATTAAAGTTACAATCTATTAGCTACCAATGAAATTTCACGAAAATTGAGACCCAATTTCAATAGATTTACAATATTTATAAAAAATGTTGCTAATGCAGAGCCAGAGTCCAAAGAGAAAAAACCATAGCAACTGGTCAACCAATTTTTATAATCACAAATTCATTATGAATGTATAACCCACATAAACACACACTGAACCCTCACACGCTGGGGGCAAGGGGTTAATCACCTCCCAAGCGTCGCTACCGACCTGGCGTATGTAATTTACACAATAATACGGTAATGATTAACCTATACCGGGGTATAAAAGCATTCAGTGCCGGGAATGTTAAATATAGAAACGACTGCTGAGCAGGGGATCATGTTTGCTTATGAAATGACAAATTGGCTTTCTAGGTTATGTGCTTACGGTTGTCTAATATGTATAAAATTTAACATTACCAGAATTTATACAGGGTGTCCATAAAGTCCTTTTACAATTTCAATTTTGTTATGAAGTCAGTTCTCGATATATCTCAACCAAGTTTGTTGTTTTTTAATCAGTAATTGTTCAAGTATTTTTACTTTATTTAATACATCTGTGAGGGCCAAAACAATATATGATATCGATGAATTCCCTTTGCCATTTTAAAAATTTACTAAAGACTTTATGGACACCCCTATATTTAACATAATAAACTCTTGATTTGGGGAATATTTAGAAATATTGTCGTTCAAAAACTTGTCAATTTTCAAGCAAAATAATTGACATTGAATAGGTGAATTTAATAAAATATTTTATAGTTGAGAATATCTGTAATAAATTGAGAATTTGAAATATTTTAGGATAAATTTAGGACAAAAACAATTTAGGATAGTGTCATTTTGAATTATTTCACTTGAGCAGTTCAAATCTAACGACCAGACAAACGTTATTTAAACCTAAAATTGTTAAAAACAATATTGAAAACACGGCCATAGTAAAATGACAAATTGGCTTCTTGTGCTTGTATGATCAGGGATGTCCAAAGTATATATACTCTAACTAAGTGGTTGTCAAACCTTTTACAGTGTTTCTCAAAAAATTGTCTACGCCTCCCTTGTTGGGAGCGCTTGAGAACCACTGCTTATAAGTCGAGTCAAGTTTATCTTTTCCAATCAGTGAGGAAAAATATCATTTAAATACAAATTACGAGAAATTGATAATTACACAGTTTTACTGTGGAAGTGAGGCCACGAGGAACCAAAGCAGGTTATCGAGCAGCGACACCCAAGGTTCAAATATCTAATTTTAAAAATTCATAGAAGTTGGTTTTATTCATCAACCATGGAAATTCTTAATTTTTAGAATAATTTAGAGTGTTTCATTCAAAAATTTGTCATTTTAGATAAAAAAGATTTTAGATTTTAGATAAACTAATTGGTGTGTTACATGAGTAAAATTGGGTACATTCTTCAGGTATTCCAAGAATTACCTAACATTTGACAAAAAAACATGAATATGCTTCTTATCTTCTATGTACCTCACTCAGGGTTGTCAGTAATGAATTGAATAATGAAAATTTTTATTTTTTCCAATTTGGCCTAATTTGGATCAGTGCTGATGCCTTTCAGACGTAAGTCTTATGGCAAGAATTCATCAAAAATATTTATCCATCAATTTTCATTAATAAACCTTCATTCTTTCCAAGTAAAAAATCTTACTTGAAAAGTTTGATGTTTCCCAATTTTGCTCGAGACACCACATCATCGGGCGTGGCAGGTTTTAACTGTTTTTTCTTTCCAAGCAATTGTTCCATTCCCTGCATTGTTAGATAACAAAAGGTGTTATTGTGAGATCACTAAGCAAACAATATTAACAATGCGGTTAACGTTTGTCACAGGCAACATATGACAGGAATGCTGAAACCAAATAAATTTCTATCCAAAATACCTTTTAAATATTTTTGAATCAAAAATATTGAATATATTCTAAATTGAACCAATACATACAAATTTGCAAAAACCATTGTTGAGATTAAAAACGTTCAAATTTCCCGAATGACATATTCATGAACTCAAAAATTATCAAAGAATATCGCAATATAGGGAAAATAAACAGGTCGATTCTACAGTGGAACTAAATAATCCAAACACATTCAAAATATCTGAAACATATTTTTGAAAGTTTAATTTTGGGAATTTAATTTGGGCTACTTATCAACAGAGACATTTGCACAAATAATTGTATATTCATGGCTTTAAAAGTTGTATGAAGCATATATATTGTGTATTCAAGATATTGAATTATTTGATTTTGAGCTATTGCTCTCCTAGTGTTGGATAGACAAGTAATATCTGAATATATTTTGAATATTAGATCTGACTCTTGTCAAAACCAGCTTACTCGCCAAATATATGATAAAATCAAGCTGTTCTCCAGTAAAACTATCTAATCCAAGCACCTTCTAAAAACATATTTTTGAAAATGGAATTTAATTTGGGCTAGCTATTAACAAAGAAATTTGCACAAATCGTTGTATATTTGTGGCTTCAAAGTTGAATGAAGCATACATATTGTGTAATTGAGATAGTGGATTATTTGATTTTGGGCCATTACTCTCCTAGTGTTGTCAGATAGAAGTGTAATTTGAGAATATATTTCGAATATATTTAGGTCTGGCTTTTGTCAAAACGGGCTATCTGAACAAATATGATAAAACCCAGGAAAACAGCTACTCAAATATCGTGATTCAAATAAATTTGATTTTATTCAATATGGTGAATTTTTGATTTTAGAATTAATTTTCATTTTGAAAATATCCTATTTTAAAAAATTGACATCTGACAAACAGGCTTATCATCATTTCATGTCTCATAACTCAAGTTAAAAAATTTATTATATTTTTATTTAAAATAATTTTCAAATGTCTAAAGAACAATTTGGTTTTAATTTTCCCAGATTGCCTGATGGGATTCCCACATCACCCATGGTATCTGATTTTTCAGGAGAATATGCACAAAAACAGGCCTCACTGAGAAGAAACATTTTTGAGCAAAGTTACGGGCGAACAACCAAAATGCCATCAGCTATTGAAACTACACACAATTATGGTTGTGCATAACGCACATTCACTCAGAAGTAAAGGAGAATCATCTCTGAGAAAAGTTATGAGAGAGCACTGGAAACTACTCAAACTATATAGAATTATGATGGTGCCAGTAAATGTCAATTGGTGAGAGACTTGAAACAGTTATCAGCCAACTATTCGGTTTCAGCAGTATCTAATCCCTAAGTGTGGATTTCATGTCACGCCTATCACAATATCAGATTATCGCCAAATAAAACAATTTGATCTGAGCTTTTGAATTATTGATGAAGGCCTGTATTAGAATGAAGTTATATGGGGTTTATATTAATCCCAGGGAAGATGAAAGCTGAGAAACGATCTAAGAATATGGTAGAATTTTACATTTATCAAAGGGAGAGGAAAGTTGATAAAACGACTCAATCATATATATATAACAGACCAAGGCTCTCGTCCAGTTACCATTCCAGGTCGAGTTTTGGAATAATTGACCAGTTTTTCGATTCAGATGCTAATTACATTCTATATACAGAAATCTACCTAAGCCACCACCAAAGTCTGGTCTTATTCATAGGAAAGTCGTAAAACATCTCACAAAAAATAATATTCAAGCTATCTTATCGATTTTCACTCCTTACAGACACAACAGCCTAGAGGAGTGCATAGTAGATCTTTATAAATCGACAGCTGTGCATACAAAGCCTTGTTCAAAGTCAACACCTAATACAAGGGTGAGCAACCTTGAATACAGCACATTAATTGTAAATTGGACCCAGATATAGGCTTTGCAATGCAAAGGGATTGGAATTGCTCATCAGATTATATTAGATTAAAAACTTGTTTTGCAGGTGCACACCATTTTAAATAAGCACTTCTCCACGGGCGCACAACTTTTTTTTTCGTTGGCCACATTTGTCCCCCTGGCTGCTGATTCCCCCCTGACCTAATAGAAGTATAACATCCAAGCCATCATATCAGCTTTCCTCTCCCCCCTAAAATTACGAAATTCTCACCTCAAACAGCTTAGGAGTGCTTTTCTCGTCACTTCCTTCAATGATGAAAACCTGGCCACGACCTCCTCGCTCACGACTGTTGATGTCTTTAGCCAGTTGCATTGCCTGAACAAATGATTGATGATAACAAGGGCAAAGCATGATTAGGAACTTGGGATTAGGTAAACATTATAGGTAAATTAAAAACTGCTATTTATCTCGTTTTTGTTGGACTTCCCAAAGGGTGCCGTCACTCTATACGCCTCTCCTGTCCCCCTGAAATGCGATTTTTTATATTTTCTCCAATTTGTGTATGTATATTTCGCATTTTAAAACTTTTACTTGGTGAAAAAACAAATTGCTGAATACTGCATTCAAAATTTAAGCAAAATAAATTTGAGCATTAATTTTCATTTAAAAATATAAAAATGAAATCAGTGCTCTTTGGACTGGTTTTCTAGTTATAGCTTAAATCAATATTCAAAGTATTACAATAAAGAGGTTTGAATACCGACTATGTGAACAAAATATAGAATCACAAAGAGACATGACAATCAAATTACAGCACACTTTTAACTTTATAGAAAATTTGCTAGCACCCCCTTTCCCCCCCCAAAAAAGAAAAAAAATTACCTTTATTCTTTCCATCCTGTTACTCTCTGGTCCGTTCCACTGCAGAATATATTTTCCGAGATCAAGAATGAAAACATCACCAACGTTCATTGAATCCCAACTCAGATCGACTTCCGTTGCGACAACATTCTTCTTGCCCTGGAAATGAGATTTTGAGATTAGGAGATGGTAACATGAACATTAATGAGGCTCTAAACAAGTCAATGATACATGATAGCCAGGGCAGGCTTTGTTGAAACCCCCCCTGCCTTTTGAAATGTACAAATAAAAATATTTTTCTTTACTCTTGGAAACCTATGTTTTTCGGCCTCTGACCGGACTGGTAAGCGTGAGTTTCCAAGAGTGTTGAGTGTCTAGAAAACGTTTCAAGGATAGGATTTACATGTTTATCCCGGGGGAGAGAAAAGCCGATAAGACAGCTTAATCATAGGGCAAACCACGGCCTTACGTCCGGTTACCAGTCCAGGTCGGGTATGGGATTAGTTAGCCAGTTATTTGTTTTCGGAAGCATGGACTTGATGGTGGAGGAAGCCGTAACAAACCAGCGGTTACCTGAACCACCCTACGGCGAAGAGGATTCCAGCAATCCTCTCGCACATGATCATCCCCGCATGGGATTCGAACCTGCGATCCCACTAAGGGTAATCAGAGATGCGGTGGCGAGCGTATTCCTAACGCTTAGCACGATGCGCCACACCGCCGAGTCAAGCTATGAAAAACTGCTATGCATGATACAGAAGAATGTTTTTTTGTACATTTCGGAAAAAGGATTCTGGCCCTCAATCCCCCTGGCTAAGAGGGCCATTTAAGAAACTAGGGCATCACGCCCCCTAAACTAACCCATGTTTTGTATATTGAATACACACTAGCACTCACCTTCACATGCAAAAGCCGTCTGACATCGTATTTATTTGTTTCAACATGGTTAAATCCTGATGCAACTCCTCCTTTCTGGTAACTGAAAAAATAAATCAGGAGAATTAATATTCACATCCAATTAGAAACCAGAGTGTCTGAAATTGTAACTTCGGTGACAAGAAAAGTTACAAAATTAAATTTGTGTCCATATGCAAATGATCTTGCATCAAACAGTCTTTCCTAATGCCATAATTCTACACTAAATTCTTAGTAGTCTCAGTGCCTCTTGGCATATCAGTGGTTACCCATAACTTTCCTCAGAGAAGAGTCTCCTTTAATTCTGAGTGAGTGCCCGTAACTTTGCTCATGGATGAGTCTCCTTTACTTCTGAGTGAGTGCCCGTAACTTTGCTCATAGATGAGTCTCCTTTACTTCTGAGTGAGTGCCCGTAACTTTGCTCATAGATGAGTCTCCTTTACTTCTGAGTGAGTGCCCGTAACTTTGCTCAGAGATGAGTCTCCTTTACTTCTGAGTGAGTGCCCGTAACTTTGCTCAGAGATAAGTCTTCTTTGCTTATGAGTGAGTGCCCGTAACTTTGCTCAGAGATAAGTCTCCTTTATATCTGAGTGAGTGCCCATAACTTTGCTCAGAGATTAGTCTTCTTTGCTTATGAGTGAGTGCCCGTAACTTTGCTCAGAGATAAGTCTCCTTTACTTCTGAGTGAGTGCCCGTAACTTTGCTCAGAGATAAGTCTCCTTTATATTTGAGTGAGTGCCCGTAACTTTGCTCAGAGATGATTCCCCTTCATATTTGAGTGAGTGGATTTGAGCAAATTCCCTGAATATAAAATAAAGCTGGACTACAATAACAACAAACTCACATGAGTCCTTTCTTGAAATAGCTCTTGAAAATCTCGGACTCATTTCCCTGAACTTCTCTGTGTTGAACTGGTTCTCCTCCCAAGTAATCATCAAGATACGTCGTCAGCATTGCAGCGGCACCTGGAAGGAATGGGTCAAAGGTCAAATCAAGGTCGGACAAAATGAAAAACGAATACCCTCTTAACTCAGTTGCCAAACTAAGGGGCCGGCTTATACGCGCATAAATCTGATCGCACTGAAACGAAATGACATTATGCTAACGAGCATACGATTTGTAGAGTCGACTTACATGTGAGTATATATTAATCCACCCTGCATTCCCGTGTGAAAGGAGACGCGATAAACCAGTGATGGTCATCTAGCAGCGTGACGTATGAGGGAGTGAGTCTAACCTCAAATCATACTGAGAAAAAAGTTAAACATGAAATACAAACAAAAGCCGGACTTTCAAGCGACCTGATATTCCGGTGTCACTCTAGTTAATGGAAAACGACTCCATACACGACAGGCCCCTTAATCCAGCCCTCTTACTCTCTGAGGGCAAATGCTTTGTTAAATATTATAATTCATTTAGAATTACCAAACCCAAATACTTTTAGGAAAAAGTTTTCAGGATATTTCATGATGCGCAAAAGAATTTAACCAAAAACTTTTTATTTTTATATTTAACAGTTATATTCCAAACATAAATCTAACACTATGATTGTTGTAAAGTGCTTGTCTGAGGAAGTGTGATTTTGGTCAGGCAAACGTTACAGAAATACATTTGTGTTAGTGTGCAGCAGGACTCTTTAGTTTGCATAGTATAAATTTGAACAACTGCAAAATCCAAATATTTTTCATTTTGTTGTTAAAGCTAGATCGACACCAGGTATTTACTTATAGTTTGTGGAATCTTACAAACCAAATTCATGGGCGAGTCGATGCAAAGAACATCAATAGTAACAACTAAACTAAAGTAATATTGACTATATTGTTGAAAGCTTTTAGTCAAGATGAGACAGGAACATATAAAAGTGATTTACAGCCCCGATGATCAAATATTTTCCAAGTCATAAAACACACAATGCCGGGAATCAATCATTGCTGTTTGCCTAATCATTTTTTATGACACTCGGTAAAAATATCCGTAACAAATATCCGTGATGGCCTAGCCCTAGTGCTTAGAGCAGTAATTTCCAACCCTCGGCCAGCAGGCCCGCGTAACTATTTAGTATGGCCCGACGAACTTGAATGAAATAGAATAACACTTTGTTTCCTTCTTTTTGTGTTTTAGATATGGTCAATTGTTATGTCATTATCCCAGTAACAAATCACTTTGTATTTTAACAATTTGGTATCTTACTTATTCGTACGAGTATCAACCTCTTGCGGGCGCTCCCCTCTACTGGCAAGCGAATATCTTTCAACTTCTAATTTTGGCCACGGGTCAATCAATTTTAGGAACAACTGGGTTAGAGCATTGGTTATAAAGCACTCTGGAAGTATGTGCATCAAGGTGGCGCACAACTTGAACCCTAACCTTGTACACATATTATATTCAGGTTGTGCGCCATCTTGGTGCACATCCTTCGGGAGCACCGGTTATAATTATGTTAGCAATGCAGGTTGAAGAAATATTTTGGAATCATGCCCCATGCCCAAAACTTTGTTCATCAACTGATAATTTTTTATAACGTTATTTTCGCTGTGGGTGGTAATGGTGGTTAAAATGTTGGACTTAATTATGCCTCCACTTGTAATCAGGGCTGGGGAGTCGGAGCTGGAGCTGGAGCTTGGAGCCATGGAGCCGTGACATTTTGATGGAGCCGGAGTCGGAGTTGGAGCTGAGCTGGCCATGATAGATGGAGCTGGAGCCAGAGCCGGAGCTGCCAGAAATTTCAGCGGCTCCAGCTCCTGACAATAGAATTATTTTTTTTTCTACTTTTCTGATTTTTTAATAATTTCTAGGGTTGAGAAATAATAATTACGCCGATTTTAATTCTATAATTTCTGGCGTCTCCAAACACTTAACAGAACTAAATAGTTGTATAATTAATCAAGTTACTATTGTTCTAAAGTAAATAGTGTTGGATTATATCACGGATCTTGGTATTTTTAAACGGCGATAACGATTTGGCAAGATCGCAAAAATATGAATCAAAATTAATTATAATCGGGCAGTTTTCCACACATTTTACGTCCGTAGCTTGTCATTTATGTTAGAGATTCTTTTTTTATTTCGTAAGACGACGCAACATTGAGTTTCTTTGAACAGAATAAAACAATAAGGCAAGTGCTGGTATCGGTAATGGGTTACATTTTTAGCACAATAGAAAATTATTTTCTGACAAGTCGTTTTTTTTTAAATATTATAAACAAAATTATTCGCCAAAGCGCAGGAAAAAGTATAAATTATATTTTCCTAATCTTCCCAATAAAGCAACTTATTTTTTCCGACTTGCGAAAGTTTATTGAGGTATCGTAACAAAACGTATGAAAACAACTTATTTAAGTTGCAAGTGCATAAAATCGTTTGAAGATTTTGCACGGAAACGAAACAAACAAACAGCTTGCGAAAAGTGACTATTACTTTAAAATTTGAAAAAGTATATCGGAATACTTTGATATAGCAATATGGACTGATAAAGTTATTTTGTCGTGAAAAATAGCGGTAATGCATTCTGATATACTGTTTTCTGTGAAACTTAAGTTTCATGCTTGAGAACTACAAGCAGTCGCGGTCGTTAACGGGGTTGCACACTTAATTCATTTTTTGCTATACGATCAAATTGCCATATATATATGTATACTAATATTTATTGATGTCGATTAGTGGCCAATGCAACCGGCTATTTTACGATTACCTGATTACAACTCCTCACTGCTTTTCTTTTTCTAATAAATGGTATTTACTGGCAAGTGTTAAAAATACTTTTGTGGATAAAAAAAAACAGACGACTTAAATTTCTCAGAAATATTATTTGCGAATAATTTGATTTCGGCGATCTAAAAAACCTTATTGCCGCTAACGACTACTAGTAAAAAACAAAACTATATTGCAAAGAGGGGCGTTTTGACTATTTGGGAATCCCTAAATATTATGTAATATTTCCGAATTTAGATCTGAAGTGTCGTATATAAGGTTAAGTCATCGGCTTTCTCAGCTTGGTTGTATATAACGTAAAATGGGTTCCGAAAAAAATGCGATTTGTTTTCTTGTCTTCGTCTCATAAATTGCACCGCGATATAATGATGCGACGCGGTAGGTCACATGGAGTGTGTTCAGTGGATTTAGTCGAAATCGGGATTGCGCAATAATTGATTGTAGTACAGGTGTGGCTTGCGCAATACATCGGCAATTGTGGACAAGAAAAAAGCGATCGGCCGATCGCTAATTCACCTTTGTGACGTAACTAACAGTAACGACCACGTAGACATGTCTGGGCATGTTCAAGCAATGCTGGAACATGACATGCTGGCTTGCATGCCTAAGTGTCGGAATGGCCAGTTGATGTATATTGTATACGATACAATTTCTCGCTTGTAGAAAATGCTTACCTAATCTTAATGCCATTCATGACAATATAATATTTCATTTTAAATAGTAGTTAATATTAAATTAGAGAAAATTAATTTGTAAGAATGCAACCCTTACCCTTGTACCATGGCTTGCAAAAGTAAAAAGTCCGCAGTGTTCAAATATTTCAAAGAGAGTGGAGATAAAAATGCACTAATCTGCCAAGTATTAAAGAAAGATGGGGCCGTTTGCAATCTCAGGTTCATCAATAAAACTTCAAATTTGAAGGGCATTTGGAAAGACATCATTTTGATGCCTTCGAGTCTGTCAAAAAAGAAGACAGTGAAGACACAAAGAGAGACAGCGATATAAGTAGACAAACCTCTGTCTCAAGCTACTTCACAAGTCAAAAAGTGACCATTTCCATGACTAAAGAAAAGTTCCAGAGACATATCATACAGCTGGTGGTGAATAATGCAGCTGCACTTCAACTGTTCTCTTCGAAAGCATTCCTCGGATTAAATGGAGAAATGGCCAACAAATTGGGAGTATCACTGGAGAGACATGATATAAGAGATATGGTGGTGAAGGAAGCCGAGTGTCAGAAAAGAGTGTTAAAGGATATATTACATGGGAAATTTTGTTTTTTGAAAATGGACGCTTGTACTAGACAGAGAACTAATTATTTCGCTATAAATGTTCAATTTGTGGATTATAAAAATGAAATAGCCATCCGTACATTATCAGTACGGGATACACAAGCTCAACACACAAGTGAATTTATTCAAAAATTTGTTGAGGAAGTTCTGAGAGAGTTTGAAATTAGAAAAGAACAGATATTAGCGATTGTGACAGATAATGCTTCTAACATGACAAAAACAATAGAGAAACTTAATGCAGATATGATTGGGGACGAGGTTGAACGTGATGATGAGTTGAATGAAGGTGAATCAGATGAAGCTTTAGTTAGTGCTGTAAACAGCATAACAGCTGTTCATACAATTGAGCACATGCGGTGTGCAGTACATACCCTTCAGCTTGCTATTCGTGATGGTTTGAAAGAAAAGCATGTACACACTTTACTAAGTAAGCTACGTCAAACCTCAGTCATGGCCAGGACGCCTAAAATAGATGCTATATTGAAGCGTAGAACAGGAATAGGTGCAATAATAGATCAAGCCACTAGGTGGGGTAGCACCTACTTAATGATTCAGCGGCTCTTGGAAATAAAAAACAGTTTAATTGACATGGCCAATCCAGACATAACCTTGACTGATTTGCAATGGCGACAGACATATCAATTAGAAGAATTACTTCGGGAGCCCTATTTAGTCACCAAAAGGTTACAGGCACAAGATTTGACACCAGGGTCTTTTTATAAAGAGTGGAAAAACCTCATTTATAAACTTTCACAATCCAGTAGCATCATTGCAGATGCTATAAAAGCATCTATGCTGCGCAGAGAAAAATGTCTCCTCGATAACCCTGTATTATTAGCGGCTATTTATGTTGATCCTATGTACAGGGTTACCCTAAGTGAAGAACAGCTCAATAGAGGAAAGGCAGCGCTATGTGATATAGCTGTCCGAATGCACCGTGGATCACGAGCTACACAATTTGA